ACCATATTGAGGGGCCCTCTCGAACTTCATCTATTGGAGGCCTTTCTACCAGCAGTGGCGTGAGTAAGCAATTTCCTGGCTGCACATTTACATATTCTACTAAATACTAAAACATAAGTTATGGGATTTGGTGTGAATGCTATTTGCGGGGGTTTTATGCGTTGGCAAAATGGATAAACTATACATAGTAAGTTAACTTTATCTGGTTATATTTGTTGACAAATCTATTCCGAAGTCCTATTTGTGATCAAATAATGAGGTCCAGCCATTTTTTTTTAATCCACTACTGGAAGAAGGCCTTCACATCCCAATATCGGGCATGAGGGTTGTTTGACCATACTTCACTTCGTTGGTCATTGCAGGTTATTAAAGCACGTGAAGATAAAGGGGTCATAAATTGTTGTGCAATGTGTGCATGGCTAATACATATATTTAGTGTGAAATGCCGACTCGGCAGAAAAAGCCAAATTTATGTCAGCATGGCCCACTTTTGTCACCTAAATTATGTGTGGCTTCATGTATGCTTCTAGGCAATTTGCAAAAGTTATTATGCTTTGCATGATAATTTCGGTCAAAGTGTATAGGGTGGAAAGTTCAACGTCTATAACTGCAGGGGGTAGAGAAATGTTTAGGAATTAAAAGAAAACCTAAACCTCCACATTTAATTAATTCCTGTGTTACAGACGCCGAAAATCAATAGATTAAAGTGGCATGTTGCCGCATTGCATTTCCTTTCGTTAGCTGAGTGATTGATTGATTTATAAAATATATATTCCTTTCAAGGATTATGGCAATAGTGAGATACACTTTTCAGGGACTTTTTTTTAAGGCATATAGGAAATATGGAAATGTGATGTGGTTCTGGTTGTAAATTTCAGCGTAACTACGAGTGCATAGCAGCCTACTCTTGCAGATAGTTCCGTGAGATGTTAACATGCGCGGGCACGGCCTTAACATCTTTGAATGATGGCACGATTTCTGATTCATTGGTTCCCATGCTGCTGCAGCTGCTGCGGATTGCGTCTCAAATCAAGTGAATCTTGGATTCAGATTAGAGAAGCACCTCTAAGCCCCGTGTGCTGGGACCCTGAGCTGCCTGCGTCTCTTCGCGTTTTTGTATCTGTATTCAGTTAGCGGCGGTGCATGCCCTTGTTCAATTTTCTGTCTATTGCCTTTGTGAAGTGCCAGGCGCACAAATATTTTGGTTCAAATTGCACAAAGAAACTGCATTTGTACCACGTTAGACACTCCCCCCAGGCGAATTTGAAAACAAATACTCTACACTTACACAACTTAAGGCACACAGGCCAGGGCACACCTCACACCCCACAGAACAGAGTGCAACACATTTGCCAATTTCTTAGGGAAGAACACTTGGGTGGCAAAGGTTGCCTGAGAAACCGCTCGGCAAGAAAATGAGCTGCAAACACAAAACACATTTTGTGCCCAGGTGGCGTTGATTGAAATCGCATTTTGCAGCTTGTATCTGAAATCTGCTCACAAAATGTGTGGGGAATTACAAAAGAGCAGAGACATAAAGTATCGGAGTGTGGACGCTGATCGCAGCTGGACCTGATGCAATTTGCAAAAAAAGCACTTTTCAAAAAGTCTTGTCTCTGGAAGGAAATGCAGGCCTGCTGCCCCAGTCCTTAGGGTAATAGTGAACGCTTGGTGTTCAGAGCAACTTGTTTCCAATCTGCCGTTGTGTCTTACTTGTAAACTATTCATTTTAGATCCATTCACGACGAAATGTAGCTTTTAAAAATTATGGCTAACATGTTTTTATTTTATTTATAGTGAACGCTTGGTGTTCAGAGCAACTTGTTTCCAATCTGCCGTTGTGTCTTACTTGTAAACTATTCATTTTAGATCCATTCACGACGAAATGTTACGTTTAAAAATTACGTCCAACATGTTTTATTTTATTTTCATTATTATTTGGCTATAAGAAGGACGCAACTTTTTATCACATCACTTTAGCTGAAACATGGTGACATGTGGCATCGAGTTTAATTTAAAATAATTCTGTAATTGGAATGTATTAACGTAAGTAACTATATTTTCAGATATGTTAGGCCAAGTTTATTACATCCATTCAGGAGCAGAGATTGACAACTGTTTACCAGTCACAAGCAAGTAGAGGTCAAAATGTCACAGTTGGATTGTCCAAAAACTACATGTATGCAGATCTTGTAATGAAATTAAATAAAGGTATTAAAAAAACTAATTTTCCAATGCTAATTTATAACATGCATACTGTTCTTTTTTTAGACATCTGTATTTCCAAATTTAAAAGAAGTAGTGAGACTTTGTAATGACTGCCATTTATACATTTTTATAGAAATCACCTACGGTAATTGGAAAAACACAATAGTTTATTCGTGAACTTGAGCCGTTAATAGCTTTCCATAGATGTCCTTCGTAATTCATATTCCCCATTATTTAGTTGGCTATAGGTGGACTGCATTGCTCTTAAAGATATCCTTGTATTTTACGGTTGTCAATTTTCTAATCAATACAATTTTTACATTTTAATGAAGTTATAAGATTGAACATTAAAATAGGACAAGGAGAATTAATTTTTTGGTTGCAAAAAGAACATTTTTCATTTAATAAATTATTTCCTTTTCAAAACCTCAATTTACCGGTACAAATGGCTTTCGTGAAAACGAAGATTGCCGGTTGATCTAATTATCTCAATTCCAAAAAGAAATTCTACGCTTTTTTTGGGGGGGTGAGTGCCGCGGGGCGGGAGGAATTTACAATACATGTTGTAAGTTCGACGCGTAAAATTATTACACATTTTTTGTGAGAGCAATATTGCATAACGCAACTTAACTTAATTTACACGAAACAATATCCCTTTTGTTTGGCTCGAAAAGTTGTATTTAGCGGCGTTCCACACGAATACAACAACTCTAAAGTCTGTGCAAATTGTGACTTTAAGCTCACTGTCAAGGTGACCACGAGCATAAAAATGAAATAGGTCTGAGGGCTGACAGGGAATTGACGGCAGCTTGTGCGCACCGAGCTCCATTACCTGCACAGTGTCAGTCTGGAAGATTTAACCCTTTCCTTATTCATTTTCGCTTCCGTAGAAACCACGGGAGAGGACCCTTCTGGCTTGATTGCTGGGTTTAGGTACGAGTGGACGCGTCATCTTAAGACCACTGTGGCTCTTCCAGACGGGGCATTGCACGCTCGCGCAAGGTTCCTCTAAGGCGACGCTTGAGCGCACACTTTACCAGCGTCGTGCGTTGTTTCAGGCACGTGTTGGGGGGAAAGAAGAAGTTCCACCCGAGCTTTAACGAACGCTCGGCAACGCACGCTTTTTCAGTACAAGGCACTGTGAGCTTCGTGGGGGATTAATCAGGGGTTGTGGGCCTTGAGTGTGCAGTCGTTTCATGCCAGGGACAGCATTTGTATAGCCGTGGGACGTAAGCGTTAAGTTTTCCTGGTGACATGTAAACACAGAATTCTATTTGCATCTGTATGAAGTCCTGCGGGGTGTTGCTTAAATTATCTAAAATATGCCGGAGTGGCAACGGTTGACGACTGCCCTATGTTAATGGGATGAAATTGGATTTTCAGTATCCACTGCCCATATGGCAACCACTTCTGTTACGTGTCATCTCTGATGGCTTGATTTAATTGGGTTCTGATTACTCTGAGTCAGCATCGTGCACCAAAAGTTAATGAAATAGCTTCTTGGCAGCGATGGTCTGTAGCCATTTTGGTACTTGCCCTCCTTTGTGAAGCAATTTTGCTCTAAAGCTTTAGCAACCATTTTACTAATAGGCCCGCCTGTTTTTAAAGAGGTGTTACCATGCAAATTACAAAGACATAAAATAACAATATAAGGCCATTTAATGTAACTATAATAACCCCCGCATTTTCAACAAATCAATCTGCTTTATTTCCTATCAAAAACTGATAGAAAAAAGAAAACCGCTTCAGTCAACGTTTTCTTTTACAAACCATAATTTTGCAATCTGAAAACAGGTAAACAAAATATTACGAACTATATTAATATTGTTTATGTATAACTAACCAATCTGATTTATATTCTGTTTAGAACCTTATATAACACAACAACAAAAGCTGCAGTAAGCATCTTTTTTTAACAAACCATCATTCTGTTCTAAATTGAACCGGACCTCAGCCTCAACACAGGTTAGCAAATCGTGACTGGCTGGTTGGGTCATTTGTATTGAATGGTTCCCTTAAGAATGGTTCACCCTGAGGAGCTGTAGACTTAGAGGCAGCAGGCTCTAATGTAGACGGTATTGGCCCCTGACAAGGGATCTCTTAACTTCAGAATTTTCTTGGGTTGCATGTGTTCACAAGCACACAGTTCGACTCATTGTACTACACGGAGGAGAAAAGTTATTTACCTGGTAAAAAAAAAGCAATGGTGTTATTTGATAATGATATAATGGTAATTGTGACATTTATTAGGAATAATGCAATAATATTTTTTTGCATTTGAAGACCTAAAAGATAAAAACGCATTTTACAATGTATACATGAGTGCATGTTTTCACATGTGTGTGCGGTCGTATGTGTGAGTACATGTGTGCACACGTAATGTGTATTAATATACCGTACGCGTTTTCTTCTTTGGTATGTTAATAGAACATTTCATGAAGAAAAACACAGTATAACATACGTATAGTAATTGTGTAGGAATGAAATGGAACACATCCGAAACAAAAACCCAGCAGGGAGATGGAGCGATGAAATCTGCTCATGCGTACGTGGTAGGTGGATCATTACATCACAGGACTGTGATACTGAGGATGCTTTGATTCAGCAGTTCATTGATTGTGGCTGCTGATGATGCTGATGAATTCCATAAAGTAAAATCAAAAAGCGCGTGTTAGTCCCGCATACTCTCCTCGGTTATTGCGCGCATAAATTACGTACCCGCGCAGAAATGCGCGTCTTACGTGCGCGCTAGCGCAAATGCGGCGACGCTCACGGCGACCCGCCGCTCGTACCTCGCACTCTTGCATGGCCGACACGATGAAGGCAGAGCAGTGGGTGGTCGTGCCGTTGGCAAGCCCCTCGGTGGCCTCCGAGTTGGTCGGCTTGTAATCCACGTAATACTCGAGCGGGATCGTGGGCTGCGCCGCCCGCTCGTTGCTGGCCCCTCGTCTTCGCCGCTTCTTCTGGCGCCGGTGGTGCGCCAGGGGACCCTGCTGCTGCAGCTGGCGCATGCTCGCCGGGTATCGGCGCCACGAGATGTAGATGACCAGCAGGATGACGAGCACGGACAGGATGAGCGCCACGCAGCCGGCGATCACCTTGTGCAGTGACACGGCCTCCAGGTCGGGGTCCAGCGGCGGTGGCGGAGGGTGCACGGGGAAGTCTGCCGTGGGGTCTGTGGTCAGCACGATAGGTTCCCCCCACTCGATCCTCGACTCGACGACGGGCTTGAGCCAGCCAGTGGGCCGGCTGCCCGGCTTCGGTGCTGGCGCCGTAGGCTCGGCGGTCACCCGGGGTCTCTCGCCGCAAATGTTGTAATTGTCGATGGCCTCCATCACGTTCTCGCCCTCCAGGTGCTTGGGACCCGCGCAAATCATGTTCTTTTCTCTTCGGATGCCGAAGGTGGTGAGCCAGCTGCCCAGCGCGCACAGCTTCCGGTCGCACTCCCAGAGGTTTCCCGAGAGGCTGATGAGGTTGAGGGACTTGAGCGAGCTGAGCACCTCGTGGGTGAGCGTGGTGAACTTGTTGGAGTCGAGGCGCAGCGTCTGTAGGTTTGGCACATACTCGAAGGCGTTCGCTCTCAAGGACTGCAGTTCGTTGCCGGAGAGATCGAGAATCTGCAGGGTGCTCCAGATCCACACCATGCCCTGCGTCATCTCGCTGATCTTGTTTCCCTGCAGGTAGAGGTGCCGCAGGCTCATGAGCCGCGGGAAGTGAGCAAAGTTGACCTTGGAAAATTGATTGTGCTCCATGTGGAGCTCTGTCAGCCTGGTGAGGCCAGCAAAAGCATTTCGCGCCAGGCTCCTCAGCCGGTTGTAGCCAAGGTCCAGAAACTCGAGATTTCTGCAGTCTTGAAAAATCCGTACTGGCATCGTCTTGATGGTGTTGGAACGCAGGTGCAAGCTCTGCAACTTGCGGAGGCCCCTGAACAGATCCGGATCCAGTATCTGCAACTGGTTGTACGACAGGTCCAAATTCCGAAGGTTTGATATTGGCCGGAATGTACCATTGGCCAGATTTGAGATTCTATTGGAACTAAGGATTAGTTCTTTCAATCTGCGTATCCCTTGAAAGGCATGTGCATCGACAGTATGCACGTAATTGTGGTCAAGGTATAGCCATGTCAGTTGCCTAAAGCTGGCAAACTGATTGTAGTTCAACTCTTGCAGGCTGTTGTACCTCAGAGACAAACCGAGCGTGCCTGCGGAGATATTCCGTGGCAGTCCTTTCAGACCCAGTGACTCGCAGTACACGATCTTCACATCACACTTACAGCTTTTGGAACATGCTCCTTCGACTGTTGGGAACGATAATATGAAGGCTGCTGTAAAAATCATCAGTCTTGTTCTTGGGCCACTCAATACCCTGAATAGAATTAAACCTGAAAAAGGAAAAATGCGATGGAGGTAATGAACGATATGCTAAAGCTTTGCGTTCATTTAAAAATGCATTGACAAGTTACACTCACAACTCGGTGGTAAATCCTATGTCTTTTCTGCGATACGTAAAACAAAACTCGATTGTGTCTATGCAATTGTTTATTCGTGCTAGAAATATAAATGTAAAAATATAGACGTTGAATACAGTAGAAGCATTATTGCAATTGTATGCCTTTTGACTTTTAAAGACCGCATTTGTTCGCCCCGTGCATAATGAGTGCAGTTTGCAGGAAAAGACTTACCCATTGCTGAACACATTGAATTGGCACTTGATTTCAAAATGTGTCGCACGCTGCGTCTAAAACCCACCGTCGATACGTTAATGGACTAACAGCATGACTGACGAGATTATGTTTCCTTCCCTCAAAGGCACTTTTTCCTCAATATAACTGCACAAAAGCGTGCGCCGGACTTCCACATTGAGAACTCGAAGTTGGGTTTCGCTTGCAGAAATCCATACGATCCGCACACGGAGAGAGAGAGAGAAACGGGCGTTTTACTGGTCGCTGTGCCTAGGTGTCCCAGCCGACAATTGAAACATCTTCTTTACATCGTCCAAAATCGAGCCTAGATCAGTGGACTGCCGCCGATTCTGATGCTTCACTGTTTTTCCTGCTCCTTCAGAATTCGTGGGCTCTGCGCGAATGCAAAAAAAACAACCCCAACAAATAAATCCCATGCAGTCCCCCCCCCCCAGTCCCCTTTTGTTTGTCCCCTTAGTTTAATTAACAACGCTCTTTTTTTTGATCAATTAGTTGAAAGGTATGCATCGCGTGGGAAATGATCTATCACTTTTGCTTGCAACGTACAGAACAACAAAAAAAAACCCACAACCATTGCATGTCTCTTGCTCACGAGTGTGCTGGCGTCGGTTGTTGTTTGGTCTGCGCTCAATAGCTGCGGCTCTCTCTCTCGCTCCCTCTCCCCTCCCTTCTCTCCATCCCTCTCTCTCCCTCTCTACCCTCAGCACAGCACGCACGCCCTCCTTCCCTCAACTCTCTCTGCTTGACTGATAGAGAAATTCTGATGCAGGGCTGCCCCTGGCGGCTTGGAAGTGTTGCAGTCATGGTCATGTGCACCGGATGACATTAAGCCATTGCCACCGTCGCACATGCGGTAGTTGAGCATTTAGGCATTAAAAAAAAGCCTTCTCGATGGCATTGGCAATATCTCTACAGCCACCCTCCTGTAAGATTCTATCTCTCGGTTTTTTTTTTAATACTCAGCATGAGCGCACGGGGGGTTTAGTAAATCAATGTCTATTTAAAAAAAATAATCCTAAGGAATAATTGCATGAAGTGGCTAGTAATTTTTTTTTCACTTTTCTTTCATTAAGCCTTATAAGTGTAATGTCGCATTATCAAAACGATTACTCGTACACACTTAACTATCTCGCGTGATTCATTTTAAAATCATTGTTCGTCCATGTTGTTAGCTCCGAAATACATTTAATGCCTAATAAAATGTCCTATTTGCAGATTTAAAATAAAAAAAATGTAAAATGGAATAAATATCAATACGTGACAATATTACTTTGCAGTTATGTTGTTGTTGTTGTTTTAAAGACGACTGTATTGGTGGAAGTGTGCACATTTTTTGGCGCTTTCAGTAAATACTATGCACATTTCACGAAAATAATCATCCATCATTTACATGAATGTGTATGTGCGCAGTGTTTCAAAAGGCCTGCCTTGTGTACAGCCTGCATTGCATTAGCTTTGTACCTGACATTCAATCAACAAAATGCACTGTAAATTACGACGTGGTTTAAGAGTGTCCAATCGGTGTCCATATCGCTTTGCAGTGAAGGCTGACGGCAGAGCCAATGTTTAGTACTTGCTCTGGTCGCACGGGCAATCGAACAAACCGATGACCCCCGTTATCAATTAACGGCATCGCGTACACATGTGCGAATGTGTTGAGTGTCCACGGTGAACACTAACACGTGACAATGTTCACAGAGAATTGACGTCATGATTATCGTCCGGAAAATTGTTACTGGGGGGAAATGTGAGAGAGTCTTGATATATTTTCAGTTCCCCCCCACCCTCACTTCTTTAAACAAACCTTGACAATAACACTTGACGTGCGTAGGGTTTTACAAACTGAGAAAAGTGGGTTACAAGACATTGATCCCACCACATACAACTGCCCCTTCTGCCCTCCGCACCCCACCGCTCACCCTCTATGCCTCTCCTCCTGCCCCAAGCTCACAGCTCACCCCCCCCCCGCAACTCTCCTTAAAAAAAAAGAATAGAAATGCAACCAATGCCTGAACTCATGGAATTTGCTGCTTGGCAACATGCCTCTTTCAGAGCGGAGCAAGTTAAAAAAGAGAGCTTTTTGTCCTTCTTGGCCAAGGCTCCCAAAGTGACGGGGCGGTTTTCCCGTCGTCCCGCTGCCTGGGAAACGCTCCTTCCAGCAACAGTTCTTCCGGGCATTTCAATGTGTGTAGAAGCTGTGGGGTGATTAAAATGCATGGCTACCAGTGGCCTTAAGGGGAATGTGTCTGGGCAGGGGATAATTTGTCTTGTGGACTGTACGAGCATTTACGGACAAAAAGATATGACTCTATTACACGCAGGTTGTAAATAAAAGAGGCTTGCACATAGGTGCTGTGTTGCAAGTCGTGCATGGGGAGTTGAGAAGAAAATACAACTTTAGAGGTTTTGACAGGGAAATGAAATAAGAAAATTACCGCTGAAGTTACAGTACCGTAATCACACAAGACATATTTGTGCTCCGTAAAGGGCATGTCTAAGATTGATTATTCCGTGACCCTGGATGGCGGGAGGACAGATTCTGATAAAGATGTGACGTCTGTGTTTATGCCTTCACCTATGCTATTATGCAATTGCATAATTTAAACAAAGAAATCAAGCGCTGAAGTATAGATTAATGAACATGATGAAAAAAAAACGAGCCATCATCAGCCATGGTCAATCAACTGCAGGATGAAGGCTCCCCAAAACAAACACCGTCAACTCTCATGACGCAAAAATCCACGCCGCCCCTGCACACGAGAATACTTCATTGCTCCGTTTTCTCGGTAGACGTCCTCTTGGACACACGTTCCATTCCTTGCCTGCCACTCTGTGATTATTCTTGACCATAGTCCATCATCCCTACGAGCGACGAGCACGCTGGCTTTGTGTTCCTGTATATTTGCAATTTGACCAAGCGTTCTATAAAAGCAGAATACTATCACCTAAAGCCGTTATTTACTGTATTCAAATGGAGGGCACGCCAGTTTTCTTGTAAGGCCATCCCACAAAATATGTTTATATGAACGTAAAATAAATGCACAAAGTGGGAGGGATTTGAGCAGGAGAGGCTTCATAAGACTCGTACAAACTGGGGCGTACAACTTTTCTCAAACAAACCACGTAAAAAAGGATGAAAAGCCATTTACTGTTATTTTGTTAGAAATAGAAACTGCCACCTTGATAGATGAAAACAAGTGCAATGCTGGTGGGAAGGTAGTTTAGTATGCGGAAAAGCACAAGCAAATGCTGGAGCACAAGCTGCTGACTGCGGCAATATTGTTGGGCAAATTGCTGCTGGACTGCCTTCTGCCATCTTTCATGGTGTCAGTTGTAATAACTGTTAAAAGAGGGTCCCAGGGTTCTTTTCGTTTCAGGCGAGTTTGCCACTATCAACAACGGTGCAAGCCATTACATTGAGCAGCACTTGTGAAAACTTGGCCTTCATTCATTTATTTGTTGTAGGTGGCTTACAAAAACACTGAAATACATTCTGCCATCACAGTTACTGGGTGGTGGGAAGGAGTTGTGAAGGTTATGTGTTGGTGTTAGCTTTGGTTTTATCATTCTATTTACATACTGTGCGAATGAATATGCAATGAATGCGCTCACTCTCGTAAAAAATTGTGCGTATTGAAAATGTTCAACAAAAATGCGGATGAACGGAACCGTGGGAGACATCCTCCGCGTGACTGGCACGTGCCGCCCATGATCGTAGCGAGTGATCCACGGCTGAGATCTATGGATTGAGAGAGGGACAGGGTAGAGGGAGAGAAATAGGGAGAAGAATGAGTCAACACAAAGAAGAAGGAAAGAAGAAGGACAATGATGTCACGCACTGGGGGAGGGTCATATCAGGAGCAAATCAATGGGAGAGGGAAATTATTTTTCCTATATACCGTGGGTGATCCCTGTGTAAAGGAGTTCCAGCCCAGGTAAGTCTTGAACTTGAATTTTATTACATCTTCAGCACAGCACATAACACATCAGGAAATTACTCCTTGCAGGTGCAACCTCAAACCTTTACTCTCTGCCGCTTTTATCCTCTTCTCCGTCATTTATGGACCTTTCCTAAACTCGCCATCAATCCCTTTCATTTCTTCCAACCGCCTCCCCACCAACCCCTCATTCCCGTCTCTTTGTTTTCCCCGCTCTTAAAAAAATTTCGTCATGACCAATCTGATTTGAACGGTTCTCAACCTCTCAACCAGCTTGTATACCCTACGTCAGCTCACCTCCCCCCCCCACCCACCCCGTCATAGCTCCTCGCCAATGAGTCGAGTGCGCGACTTAAAATCATGAGCCGTTCGACACGGTGAGTGTATATTTCTCTATTTCTAGGCGTCCCATACTCCTGCGACAAGAACTAAATTGCGCTCTCAAATTTTTGTTGTTGTTACATCAGTCCACGGAAACTTTGGGTCTTTTTTTTTTCTAGAAATGGATTTTAATTTGAATGACAGGCCATGAATTATTACGGAAATGTTGCGTCACATTGCCAATTAACCTCTTGTAAAACCGCAGTCATTAAATAAAGATATCATTAATCATCGGCAGATTTTTTTATAATTTATAAATAATATGACCATCGATCAACAAAGTATAATTCCACTGTTAACTCTGACAGAATCGATAATATCCGACTTGTCAAATAAAGACGTCTTACAAATTATCTGCAATTGCTAACTATTGGCAATGATTGACCCTCATTACATGTCTTGCAATACCAATTTAATTATGGTCATGAACTAAGTATTCACAATCGATTCAATAATGGTCATACAATAAATAAATAAAATGTGATACTTTTTGTTCGCTTTAAAACCACTCGTCGAGATCAGCCGTCAGCCACGCAATTGCTAAGGGCTTCTAATAAAGAACATGATGTAGACAAAAAAAGGAGTTTTGTAAATGCCTCCAGCAAAGCCTCAAGTTGTAAAGAGCATTCACTTCCCAACTGTCCGTCTATCAATTGGTCAGTGGCTGGACTGGTGACCTTCATGTGGCAAAGAGCTGATGCCTTGTGCGTTGTTCACTCATTAATCATGAGCTTATGGCTCACAGTCTATAAGAATGGTGCACTTACTCGGGAAATCCACACCTATGCGCACTAAAATCTCTGTGCTGTGACATTTCGCTCTGATGAATACTCCATTAATAAAATGTTCCAAATAAACCTGTTGGCAGCCTAATTAATTGCTTCCAAGCTTAGTGCTTTAAAACATGTACATGGACATTTGTATTTAATATATTAAGTCTTTAAACTTGGGATACAAACGTTGTGTATTGGTAAAGTATATGAATCATGTAAGCCAAGAGAAAGACATTCAGGGACTATACAATTAGGCTGACTAAAAAATATATGTATTTCAGCTCTTTGACGAATTCGGCAGTAATTGGCTTGTTCGTAAGATGTAAATAACTTGGTTTGCTATGGGATAAAGTTTGAGATAATAGGGGCCACAGTTGTTCTGCTGCAGTAAGAATGAGTTTGAGTGAAATGGTGCATGTAAGAGCACAGAGAAATACGTAATGCTCATTCTGGTGGCATGGAAAAAAGGAATGAATTCCAGAAAAGATCAATTAAACTATTCATCAAGAAATCTGTCTTCTAAAAACACTATATATCATTAATATGGCGTAGCCATTGACATGTTTTAATGGGTGTCATTACAGCATGTATGGTGAGTACACTAAGAGTCTATACGCATATGAATCTGTATGCAATCGTAAT